TTAGTAGTTTCTTTTGGCCTTTAGCAATTTAGCTGCTTCTGCAAGTCCCTTCTCTTTTCTCCTGCAGTCCAGCCTCAAGTAAATGCCTGTTTGGTGTTGATAGCCCTTAGTACAAGGGATAGTGCCATGATGAGTATCAGAGTCATGGTTTAACAGCATGTGGATAAACCCTCTTTTTCCATTCAAAGTGAGAAGTATTGGGGTTAATATCAGTGAAGTTCTGGGATTTGGGGAAAAAAAAAACATTGAGTGCTTACTGCTAAGCTTGAGTGATTACTTGGTCTCTGGCAACATTCTAGCAAAGAATCTGAAGGATAACTGGGTTTATGCAACTTCAGATTGGTACCTGACAGGAGAACACAGATTTGGACTCCTAAGCACCAAATATATCTGACCCCCACCCCTGCAGTGGCTATTGTGGTCTGTATAGCAAGAGTCAAGATAGTAGCTGTCAGGCTAATGAAATTATACTTCCAGATGCAAAAGTCAAGTTTTTAAGACACATTAAGTGGTTTAAATGGGTTTTCCTTTTTTGACTTAACTTCCATTGGCAGTTCTGTGGTACTAAACAAGCTGCTTTCTGGTTTAAGCTCACAGTTTATCAACATACACTTAAGTGGATTAACATCTTGAGGTTGTTGTTGGGTTTGGGACAACTAACAATGCCTGCTGTGCAAAGGCAGTACTTGAAGAGATGGTCTTGATGCAGTAACCTAGTGTCTTCCTTTGTCTTTCCCCTCTAAAATAAGCACCTCTTAAGTGCATAAACTTTGTACAGTTTGACCTTTGGGGTTACAGTCAATTCCTGTCTTCACTATTTCCCACAAACATATTATCATGCTTTTTTGAGCTGGTGCCTGTGTGGTAAATGAAGATTTTTAGTTCTCTATGAAACATCACTGGAAGTCAAGCAAAGCAAAATTGGAAATAATACTTAGACGTTCTTTCTTCCACCTTATCAGGAATGTGCAGGATGAGTGGAAAGGATGTTGTTTTGCTGCGTTAAGTTCTGTCTGATACCTTATAACACTGGCATCCTCTTCCCAATCAGTGTTTTGCCAGACTGAGATGGGACTTGGTTCTGGGGTATTTAATGATGGACATCACAGCCATTCATAAGTGCAAGAGGCAGTGTGGAGTTCCAAGTCAAGTCTGAGTAACTTACTGCTGGAGTGGTTAAGATCAGCTTAAATTTTTGTTAATTGATGCCACTGCTTGGTTTCTAAACAACAACATAGTCAAACCATATTTTGATTTCAGATAAATCCCATTCTGATTGAGCTGTTAAAACGTGGGTGTGCCTTTCCTATATAGAGTGTGTGGCTCTGTAGCACCTACAGGCTAATTTGGGGGAAAGGCTGTAACTTCAGGTTGTGATCCTGGATTTCTGTGGTACCAGGATTTTTTTTATTATCTGGAAAATGAAAACCTCTGACCCTGCAGGGGAAGTGAAACTTAATGTTTATAAGAAAACCTCCTCTACATGAGTTGATGCAGTGTAAGAAGAGTGCGTTGTGGACCTCATAGCTCCTGTGGACTACTCCAGAGACTCTATGAAAGAAAGAGCTGTTATTGTAAACCACTGGATAGCTGTGGGAAAAGCTGTGATGTTTGGGGAAACAGTGCAAGCAGGGAGAACACCAAAATAGCAAGAAACTCTTTAAAGATGTAGTTTACTTATTTCACTGCTGTCAGTGAGGGGTTGAGATCTGAACTGTAAAACTGGCATGGCCTGTAATCCTTTATATGATGGATATCTCTCTCTTAGGAGGACCCAAAACCTAATAGTGGAAAAAGTGAGATGCCGGGAAAGGGCTGGAGGAGGGCAGGTGCTTAGTCTTTGAGTACTTCCTGAGTGTTCAGGCACTTATGGTCACCTTCTGTGCTTGCACTGAAGTGGTGTCAAAAGTGGCTGCACCTTTCCAGTGAGCCAATATAAGTTGAGCCCTTCTCAACGAGCCCTTCTCAACAGCTCTTAGGTCAGCCTAGCTTCCTTCATAATCTGCAACCAGACCAAGACCTGTCTTAGAGGATGTAAAATTCACTGCTGTCCTGATTATTCCTACATAACCTCTAGAATGTTTGTTCCTTCTCTCAACTGGCACCAGCACAATAAAGCAAGCACTGAGATATTGTTTTTTGTACTCGGTAAGGAGCCATGCATTGTTCATACATGTTTTTATCAGGTACTGACTCTTGCAATAAACAATTGTTGAAACATCTCATGGCTTTTTCAGGTATCCATTGAAAAACAAAATGTTAAGTGTTAGCTGTTCAGTCATAAATATTATCAAAGAATAAACTGTGGATTCTTCAGAGTGTCTGCTTGGATTTTTGTTGCACTTGTGCTAAGACTGCAGTGGTCTAAGTCATAGGAAGAAACTTCAGAGAATCATAAAATGGTGGAGTTGGGAAAAACTTAAGTCCACGGAGATCTGGATGCCTGCTGTACAGGGGCAGGTTGCCCCACCAGGTCAGGCTGTCCAGGGCCCCATCTAGCCTGGCCTTGAGTGCCTCTAGAGGTGGAGCACCACCAGGCATGGCGCACGTACAGGCTCTCAGGGCAGCCTGTTCCAGTGCCTCACCACCCTCTGAGTAATTTCCTCTGAATGCTAAGTCTTCCCTCTTTCAGCTTAAGACTATTGTCCCTTGTCTTATCACTATTAGACCATGTAAAAAGTCATTCTCCCTCATCTTCATAAACGCATTTCAGGTACTGGAATGCCACAATGAAGTCTTTTCAGAGCCTTCTCTTCTCCGGTCTGAATAAGCCCAGCTCCCTCAGCCTTACCTCACAGCAGAGATGCTCCAGCCCTCTAATCATCTTTGTGGCCCTTCTCTGCATCCCTTCCAGCAGCTGCAAACTTGCCTTGTGCTTGGGCCCCTAGTGTTGGATGCAGTCCTCTCATCTATTGATGCAGCCCAGAATACTGTTGGCTTGTATCCAGTTTTTCAACCAGGGCTGCCTTGTATTTCTGCTGAAGCTTTTCTAAACTCCTGGAGGATTTCTGTCTTACGTGGATACTCTGGTGGATCATGAGTTGGGAATTGCTTCTGAAGCCTTCATACACACAGTTGCATGAAAATAAAGGAGGAAAATAAAGGTCCTTGTTCTGCTTTCCTTTGTGCACATCTGTCTGTTGCTCCTTAAAATGTGGAGACTGGCTAGCAGGGGAAGGCAAGCTAGCTCTGCCCTGGTTCCCCTCCTCTCCTTCAAAGCGTCAGTGATGACGACAAGGAGTGCTAACTTGTTACCCGGACTGCACTACTTCCAACCTGCGTGTAAGTCCATGCACTGAAAACCATTCACTTTGCATCCTAGGGTCACTGTCATACCACAAAAAAAAAAAAGAAAGAAAGTGATGAAAAGATTAATCTGTGTAAATTTGATAGTGCAAAATACTGAGCAGTGCTCTTGTCTCATATGTTCAACCAACTCTGACAGCTCTTGTTCAGACTCACAGGTTATGAAATGTTGTCTTGACTTATGGTGATGGCATGTTCCTATACTTTCTCATAGATCTCTAAATTGGTATATGTAGGTTGCTCTGAAAGTGATGCTTCCTATTTAATTCTATGGAAACTACAACATATACAAAGAGAACAATAACACTGTTTGATAGAGCAAATTCTCAGCTACAAAATGTTATTTTTCAACACAGTCACCACCACTAGTTATGCATTTTCATCAGCGATAAACAAAAGCCTGCATGCTGTGCTCATAAAAATCTATACCAGCAGAAGTGACATGCTGTCACTACTGCTGAAACACACCACCCACTGCCTCACTGTGCTCACATCCACTGTTTGGCTTACATCAACATTCAGTGAGCAATGATGAATGTCAGTGAATACAATTATTTCCTCACAGAGGAACGCAGTATCACAACCCAGCTTTATCTGCACTTCCACGTCAGGCACAATTTTGTCAGAGTGGCCCTCTGTTGCCATCTGTCACATGGCAACAAAATGCAATGAGATATTGGTGGGAAGGTTCAAGTTAAACTGCCATACCACCAATATCTGCCTCTGACATTATCTGCCATCATCATAAAATAGGAGGCATTATTTTCGGAGCAGCTCTTGTATTTTGTTCATTGTTTACTATTGATGGAGAGAAATGCTTTGAGGTAAAATTGTTTGTAGTTCCCTGTCAGTGTGTACATTTTTTAAATACACTGTTTGTTTACCTCAGTTTGATGGAATGACCCAATAAATGTTTTTAAAGATGACTCCTTTACAAAGAATTCAGTGTTTCATTTTTTGTCACCTTCACCACTGAACTGTGATGTGTGCACTTACTTTACTGTGCAGCCTCTTATTGTACTACAGAAACATTTTTCCTGTAAAAGTTTATTCCATTGCTGATTTAACTGAGTGTCAGCTATCTGTTGCCATGGTTAACCATTATAACCTGAAAGCAAAGCCTGGAGCTGTGGCAAGGCTCTGAGGGCTGGCAATGGTGGGACAGGGATGGCAGCAACTTGCTTAGAATGGGAGAGCTGCTTAGTGAGTAATCAATTTCTGCTTGCCACATTTCTGTCTCAAACTGGAGCTGCCTGCCTTACCTCCTGGCTATTACAGGTGCTGAAGAGCTTTTTAATTGTCTGTACATAGTCTAGGAGCCTGGAAGCCAGTTAATTCTTATTAAGTCAATTAGCATGTGAGTGGAAACGAGTCAAATGCTGATCTTTATAGTGCATGCCAGTCTTCACAAACTTGTTTGGATTTAGCTGATAACATCTCAAGAGAACTGGCACATCACATGGGGTTCCTTTCAGCTGGAACGTGGCCCAGCACGAGGCCGGGCTTACAAAATGCTACCTGGTACTGTCTGCCACAAAACCTGTAGGGTGGTGACCTTCACTCGCCCATTTCTTAACCTGCTACAAAAACATCCTGGTGCTGGGGATGAAATGCCGGTTACTGAGTCATAGGTGTCTTCCCTTAAACTCTGTTAATGCACTACCATGGTAATCTAGAAAAGAGGAGCGTGAACGTGTATTAAGAAATGTTTTATTGTAGGGATTACAAAAAATTTATCTTAATCTTGTTTGGGTTTTTTGTTTGTTTGTTTGTTTGTTTTTACCATGGCATTTCTGTATTTTTCTTCATAACATCAGTTATCTTTACTCTTGTCTGTAGTATGTTAGAAGCTAGTCCCGTCCTGCTGACCACTGTGCACTCCCAGTGTGCTGCTTCTGGACCTCTACCATGTAAGCCAAAGTCACAGAACTGCTCTGGGGTTTCAGACTTGATGGACAAGAAGACAATAATGGAGAACAATGGCTGTTCCACTGCTTTCCTCTTAAACTGGTTGATGTGCTTGGAAACACACCTCTCATTTCTGCCCTGTTCTTGTCCATCTGCACTATTGCTAAGTACCTAGAATGAAAAGATGTTCAGAACACTGATAGTGACCTACAGACAGTGCACATCAGTCTGCATGATGATGTACTGCAGAAATAACAAGGCAAATTTCTTTGTCCTGGGTGACCTCACTGGCTGAGAGTATGGCATGTGTGGATGAAGACGTAGATGAGTTTCTTGTAATGAAACTAACTGGAGGGGCAAATGCTTGGCAGACCTTCCATTTCCTCAAAGAACTGATCAAGACTAAAAGATGTGTTGGATGGTACAGCTTCTGTCACTTGGTCGGAATCTGAAAAGAACCAGTGCTTGAATGTTGTTTGATGGCCACAATGCTGTAAAGAACAACAAAAACAGAGGTTACTATAGAGCTACCAAGCTACCTTCTCAAGACAACTTTTGACTATTGTTGAGCCTTTAATTTCTCTTTGAAAGAAGCACCTGAGGGATGCTCAAAGTTACTATTTTTGATCACAATGAGCAAGTAATCTGTAATGGATTTAAAATATACATATTTTTTACTTTGCATAGGATTATTCCCTCACTCTACTTATTCTTGTTTTCACATTATCTAACACTACATTTGTGCAAAGGCTTTGTCCCATGGGATTATTAGCTCAAGCTCTGCCAAATATTTCTCCCATAGCAATTCATGTTACATAAAACAAAAAGGAGGTGGAAAACAGTGGCTAAATCACTTGCAGGTCAGATTCAGTGAACTTTCCCAGTGCTTGTCGTTCCTCTTCCACAGAATTTTTGTTTTTCTTTTTTCAGTGTTTTTTGCAATTTTCTTCTGAAATAATTAAAAAAAAAAAAAAATTCCTTTTCCAATCAGTATTGTGCACTTAAGACCTAGAATCATGAAGCGAGTAGAAAACATAGTGTGCCTCTCTGGGGAAAGCAATTCCTATTCCTTACCTTAAAGGGAAGAGACTCAGGCAGCCAGCCAGGAAAGACAGAACAAAGCAGAAGCCGCTGTACCAGTTCAGCGTGCTTTGGTAGATCTTGTTGTAGGCTGTGGATGTCACTACTCCCGTGGTGACTAAGGACAGCTGCAGCAGGACAAACACCTTACCTGTAAAACAGAAACATTGTTTGTCATCTGGGAGAAAAAAACCTGCTGTGCCACCTCCCTGCGACATCCAAGTGAATCATCACCACCACTGCACAGAAAAGTGAAGTGGTCATGAATTAACAAGGGCCAGATTGCACGAATTTACATCTGCTGCTGCTCTGGAGCAGGGTTAAATGACTCTTCCGTAAAGCATAGGACAATGCTGCCTGCTTAAACAATCTAGGTTTTCAGGTTGCAATGAAAAATTGCAATCTCAATTACAACTGGAAACAAGTGCTCATTTCCCTATGATATGAAAAGGCAACGTATTCAGGACAAGAGAGATCTTAATCAGCTCCTGCCCCCTGCCAGAAGGCTGGTCCATTGGGCTGAAATGTAACAATACCTAAAATGGAGAGCTGTGTGTAACTGTGTGACATGTAGTGAGGAGGAAATTGAGTCCCCTTTGGAACTGCTTGAGGGCAGCCATTTTCACTGAAATGCACTATTCTGTTTCTGTTGTGGTACATGGGGAAAGAGGAGCAGTCTGATCCTCCTGGGATGCACAAACCAGGAGCACATTCAGGGCCTTGTGCCAAGGCTGTGCCTGTGCGGCCTGCTCTTCCTGTGTGGCACCGGTGGCCATTACCTGAAGAAACAATGCAGTAACCAGAGTGGTTTGTGCTCCTAGAAGTTTGGAGTGCTGTGGTCATATGGCAGAAGGGAAAATAATGATTATGTGTGACTATGGACTGTGTTTTGAGGATGCATGAGCAGTCACAAGCCCGAGGTGTGTGTGGTTGCGTGACCACGCCAGTGGTGTCTGAAGCCAAGTCACTGGGGTGAAGATGGTAGCTGCCAATATGGTGTGGTAAAATACATACATTTCAATATTTTCCAATACAATGTTAGCATAAAAATTAGGAATAGCTTCTTCTATTTCCCCGAAACTGTCATTTTCTTATGTAAAAGCTGTCCTTTGTTTGTTAATTCATGTTCTGAAGGAATTGATTGACAAGAAATGTTTGGAGACTTATTTAGAGACTGTAACAAAGAAAAGATGAAAGAAATCCATCAATCCCAAAACTGGAAGAAGCCAAATATAAACTGTGAGTGTCACTGAGCTTCAGCCCTATATGCCCTCTGTTTCCCCTGGAGGACTGTTTTTGAACAGTACCTCAAATGTTATTTTCCCTGCCTTTCAGCTGCACACTGATAGTAATCTCTTGAAATGTGTACTGAAAATTCTGTGGATAAATGATGAAGCAACAGGGGAGGAGAAGCTTGGACATGGCAGGCTTGTTCTGCAAGTTTCTCTGCTCCTCCCTTCCTTTTTGTGGTACCAGCTGTTATTATGCAATGCACAGATTGTAGTGAAAACTTGCCAAACAGAGGGATTTGACAGTTTTTTGATTGGTGGGGTAACTGAAACACTTACCATAGGATGATCCTTCAACATGCTTGGACAACATGGACCTGATGGTTGGTAAGGGGATGAGGGCAAAGAGCATCACTGCTCGAGCTGCAACACAGTGAATATATATGGTTATCATCAGTATCTGCTTCCTGTCTCACAGCATCCATTGCTTTTGAAGACTGCAAGCCTCTGGCATGGGCAGGGCCTTTGCTTCACCTTGTCATGTCCTCTCAGCCTCAGAAAGTGGTTAAAGTCTGCAGAAGAAATGCAGGTCTTTGCTTCATCCAGGTGGCTGCGGATAAGCCACCAACTGCTCCAGCTGGCAGAGGCACTTTGCCTGAGCCAGCCATGATCTCTTGGATTTGACCTCTGGTTCCAGTGTATACATATAGCACTCTCTTTGTGGCAGTGAGCTGGACAATCCAGGTCTAACCATTGGAGAAAGTACCCTATGCTACCCAGCCTGGGCAGGAACACTGCTTTTTTTCCTGCACACTGCTTCTGGCTTGGCCTGAGTGAAGACTTGTCCACTTCTAGCAAACTAAGGTGTTTCTCCAACACCTTAGTATGCATCTTGTAAACCCATTATCAGCACTCTTTGGTGATGGTACTTAGTACTAGGCAAGCATTTTTAAAATTGTAATTTTATGTCTTTTTTTCCTTTAATTGTCCAGTGGATGAACAAATCTGGTAAAAATTTAGCTCAGTTTTTGTCTTGGTACAGAAATAATATGCCACCATCTTTCCTCTTAGAATAAATTTGTTTAATTTTCAATTTCTCCTTTCTTGTAGAGGCAGACAGAAAAAATTCTTCAGGTCATTTCTCTTGGGTCTTTTTCTCACTTTAAGAAAAAAGATCCCAAAGCTGTGCAAGAAAGCCATACTCTTTCTGTTAGTCAGGTATGAATCACTCACCTCACTGTCATCAGGGATATTTTCTTGGCTTTTGGTTTCCTGCGTTCCTGCAGAAGCTGATTCCCCAAAATAAACTTGCCCCAGCTATTATTCCCTGTCTCTTAGTCATTTATATACAGTGTAAGGTTTATATAGTACATTGCCGTAATATTTTATTTGCTAAAGCAGCTCCAGTTTTTCATATAAATTCTCCCATCAGTCATAAAAACCTTAATATAATAAAAATAAATGACATATTAAGGAGATCACTTAGCAGGAAATCTTCCACAATTATCTTCCATTGTAGGCTTAAGTCTTATGCCTTGAGAAACAAGTGCTTCACATTATTAGAACAGTGTTGTCTGACTAGTAGTGGTAGCCTGCAACAGTTCCTGCCCTACCACATTGTGAGCATTTTTCTCCCACTCAGATCTGGACTATGACCAAGTGACAGATTTCAAGTTAACTAGCCTTAAACTGAGCATAGACATGATCATGTGCCTTCTCTGGATATTGATGTATGCTGCACAAGAGAGCTATGGGGGGGGGGGCACTTGTGGAAGCTCAACTCACCAATGTAGAACAAGAAAGTCCACCGCACAAAGGCCATGATGAGGATGCCAGCACTGAATGATACCACTCCGATCATGATCATGGTGATGTCCTTAAAGTACTTGGAGAACACAAGTACGCCCAGAAAGCTGGTGATGAAAATTATGTACCCAGCAGCGTTGCCGTGGCCGATCTCCACGGCATTCCAACTCAAAGGCTCCCTGATCAAGAAGAGTGGAAGTACATTCATTGCACCAACTACGGCAAGATCATAGAGGATCGCTGCCACAAAAAGCATAATGATGATTAATTTTGAGGGTGTTACTGGAGTTTGGCTGCTGCTCTCTGAAGGCTGGGCACTGTTTGCTCCTCCTGTGTGGTCTGGTAGCTGGTTGCCAGCCTCTTCTACACTCTTGGCTTTGTCTGGGCAGGAAGTTGCTGGCTTGGGGACTGTCAGCACAAAAGCACTGTAGAGGAGACAGAAAGCATAGCAGGCAATGCTGCAACTCACCAGCACAGTGCCCTCTCGATAGTGATAGTTGAAGCCAACAAAGAGGTAGCCAGATGCCATGCTTCCCAGAAAGCCCGCAAGGCCATACACCATCTCAATAATGATGAGCCGCAGAGACCTCCTGCTCTCAGAGGAACCCAGAGATCCCAGAGCCATGATGCCTGCCCAAAATGTGGTGAAGCCACCTGTCAGCCCATTGATGGCTGCAGCCCCATACATCACCTCAATTGGCCAGTCCAGCAGGATCAGCAGAAGCAGGAGAGACTTGGAGCCCAAGTAGCCAAGAAGCGAGACGCAGATGGGGATCTTGCGATGCACCTTGTCCCCTAGCTTGGACAAGCCATAGGCTGACACCAGTGGACTGAGACCCAGGACAAGGTTATAGATGATATAAAAATTAGAGACGGCTTTCTGCTGAGCATCTTCCAGTACGTGGGAAGGGGTGGTTGAATTGGTCTGGTTGTAGAAGTTCTTCACCACCAGCAGCAGCGCTGTGTCGTAGAAGGCACTGGCCACCTGGGAGCCTGCGACCACCGGCTCAACCCATGTTCTCATTGCCATTATCTCCATCATGGTGCAGATGGCCACCTCTAATCAGGGAGAGAGGAGGGCTGTTTTCCAAGAGATGTGCTGGAGGAAGTAGCGTTCTCAGAAGTCCTGCTCTGGATACATGCTTGAAGTGGAGCAATGGAGGGAAAATAAAAGGTCTGTCAGTTTGCACAGAATCAGAATTGTGCAAGAGGCAATCCGGCTGGGAGGGTGTTTGCACCTCACCTTGGTACATATGTGTGCATTCGCATGCACATCCCTGTGCTGCTCTGACCTCTGGCTCAGGCAGCAGAGGCTTTTGTATGGAGACGCCCTGCACTCACTGGTTGCTGCTGCTCTTCCTGGTGCAGCTTCAACAAAGATCATATGACCTGGGGGGAATTTCTGTCACCCACTTTAGGAAGTGAAAATGGTCATGTAGTTGCTGCATTTTTTCTTTCTCTTTTGGCATCCTTCACATGCCAGAAGGCTCTCAGGGAAATGATGCTCATGCCTGACGGCAGGGAAAGGAGAAGGCTGAGTGCTTTTCTTGCCAGCTGTTTCATGAATTCCTCTTCACTCAATTTCTTTCCTTTTTATCCACACAAATGTGGTGCTGGCTCCGTGGCTCTCAGCTGCTCCCCTTTGCCCTGTTGCTACATCATGCCTCTGATGTCATTGTTGTTTCAATAAAATAAGCAGGAAATTACACTAAAAGGAAAAAATGAAAAGAGAAAATCTTTATTTTTCACAACTTGCCTCCCAGTCCTTGTGCTGTGTCCTTGGACTTTAAAATATGGGAATTTTCAAAAGGAGGAGGAAATTCCCAACACATTGGCATTGGTGATGGCCACACAGGTGCCATCCATGATTTCCATTCTGTGCGTTGGCATGGAGTCTCAGCTTGCAGCCAGCCATACACTTTACTGCTGCCCGACACTCTGGGTCTGCAGGAAACACTCAGAGGATGCTTGGCAGCTTTAGAAACACTAAGTGAAATGATAATGATCTCATGCTGTGCTGGCTGAGTGATTCATACCAGGCAAAATAGCAGTCTGCTCTGGGAAGATTCACAGTGATGGCTTAAAAAATAAATTAATGATTAATTGCACAAACCATGTTAAAATCCCCATCTGTTGCACTCTGTGTTGATTCAGGTGGCATCGACTCAATGCCTGTGTACTCATGGCTCAAGAGTGGCATTTCTTCACCTTCGTCTACTTGTGCAATACTTTTTGTTTTAGGTTTCTATTTGAGGAAAAAAATCCCATGAACTAACATAGGAAGGAATGGGGAATTGTCTGCTAGAATGATTTGCTACTACCAGAGAATTATAACTTTTTTTTTTTTTTTTAAACAGATCAAAAAACTTGTAGACAACTGCAGAATTTATTATGATTTGTTCCAAATATTTGATTTATCTTTTATCAGATTTTCTGCAGAAGGTGTTTCTTTAGTTTTTCTTACTTTTCTCCAAACACAGTAATACTCCCAGAGGATGGAAATTCCAGGCCGCCTTACTGAAAGCCCCACAGCAGCAGAATGGGACTGGTTCAGTCAACACATGCAACCAGAGTCATGGACACATTTTGCTATGACCCGGGAGCCCCATCTTTTCTTCCAGACATTACAGGGAAAGGGAAATGCCTTTATCCCATTCTAGCTTTGACACAGGACATTGGTTGTCTTGTCATGCAGAGGAATTCTATGAGCACAGGGCTGGAGAAGCTGCAGATCTGCTCAGTTCTTGAATGAGGGATGATTTCCCTCTGCACTTGGTGGCATGTACAGGCTGCCTGGCTTATTCATCTGGCACTCTTGACATTTAGGTGATACTGTGCTTTGCTCAGTGCTATTCAAGCCCAGAGAGCTAATGAGCTGTGCTAAATACCATTAGTGATCTCATGAATTGCATATATATTTCCAGGATATTCTGAGTGCTCGTTCTCATTAAACGTGTTTTTAGAGCTAGTTCTCATAGAAGGGTATAATTTTATGTCAGCAACTGCAGCACAAGTATAACACAAATTTAACTTAGGCTGTATAACATATCAAACTGAAAAACGCTTTGTGTGAATTCATCTGATCCCACAAAGACTTCAAGATTTCCATTCTCCATAATCAGTTTTTCCCTAGGGCTCAATTCTCATTTTACTGATATTTAAGAGGTAAATTATGTGTCCTCTAGAATTTAATATGTGCAGAATTAGCACAAGGGATCTTTAAGGGCTGTAAGAGCGTGGCTTTTGACATTTAAAAACACGCACCTACAGAATGATTGAGGTTAGCTCCAAGGCAAAAATACATTGCTGTAGACTGCTGAAACCCAGTGTTTAAAGGCAACCCACCCTACAGCCCTTGGGCCTAGGGACCCTGAAGCGAGGTCAGCAACAGCTCTTCTTCATGGAGAAAGCCTCCGTGGTGCACTGATGCATAGTACATTGAGGAAGGACCTAGGGTTGTACCCACAGTACGGTGGGAGAGACCCAACAGGGACTCATGGAGGAAGCTGGAAATTGTCATGCTTTCACCCTGTGAAGTTACAGTTCTGCTCATTTTTCTCATTTCAGAGCTGTCTCCTTACCTGGTCAGAGTCTCTCTGGTGGGATTCTTCCCCTGCTGAACTGACAAAACCCAGCACCCTTTACGTGCACTTTTTGTTGAGTCAGCTGCGTTTTAATTTAGCTCAAGGAATTTAGGTGATTTAGTGCTGACACTTAACTGTATTTCTTAACATAAATCCTCTGCATGAAGATAGGAAAAAAGGCTCTTTGTGGTATCCAGTGCTTGCTTAATCAGCTGGACTGCAGAACAAATCCTGCTGTACTTCTTAGATAAGGCCCAAATAATCCTTTTGTGTGTGTGTGTGCACATTCTATTTTTTATTAATATTCACCTCTTCTTTTAAATTGTCAGTCTATATGGGTTTGGCACAAAGCACCTGCAATTTTCAAGAGTGTTCAGGCAGGAATGAACTTAATATAGCTGTTTGAATTGGGAGGGACCTTTAAAGACCACCTAGTCCAACTCCCCTGCAGTGAACAGGGACACCAACAGCTTCATCAGGTGCTCAAAGCCTGGTCCAGCCTGACTTTGAGTTCCTCCACGGATAGGGCATTAACTAGCTCTTTGGGTAACCTGTGCCAGAGCCTTGCCACCTTTATTGTAAAAAACTTTCTTCCTTATATCCAATCTAAATCTCCCCTCCTTCAGTTTGAAACCATTTCCCCTTATCACATCACATCAGACCCCATTAAACAGTCTGTCTCCTTTCACGTAGTCCCCCTTTACATACTCAAAGGCTGCTGCCAGATCTCTCTGGACCCTTCTCTTCTCCAGGACAGCCCCAGTTCTCAGCCTGTCCTTGTAGGAGAGGTGTTCCATCCCTTGAATCATTTCTGTGTCCCTGCTCTGGACACGCTCCAACAGCTCCATGTCTCTTCTGTACTGAGGACTCCACATCTGGGTGCAGTGCTCCAGGTGAGGTCTCTCCAGTGCAGAGAAAAGGGGAAGGATCACCCCCCTCATCCTTCTGGCCACACTGCTTTTGATGAAGCCCAAGATGATGATTGGCTTTCTGGGCTGTGAGGAGACACTGCTGGTTCAAGTCCAGCTTCCCATCCACCACAGCTGAGTAGTGGGATGAAACAAATTATCCCATAATGGCAGCTTAGTCTTTCCTTGTTGAATGAAGTGAGGACAGACAGTTTGGAAAGATGAAATAAGCACAGCAAAAAGATGACTATGAAAAAAAGTTCACCACTGAATGCAGTACAAACAATAATCTGTAAAAACAGTTCAAAATCAAGAACTGCCCTCCTCCCTCACGTTCTCCAAAGATATATTCAGGAATTACTTTGGTTATATAATTTACATGTTTTCTTTCTTTCTTTTTTTCTTTTTTTTATTTTTAAATGTATGTCTATAAATATTTACAGTTGTGGTGAGTAGGTACTGAAAAGCCTACAAATATTCTTTAAAAAAGAAAGAGATGTCTGAGCAAAGACATTCAGAATGACTAAAATCTCACTTGTGTGAGCAAATTGGATTTTGGGTCTATGAGACTGAGGAGTGAAGTGTGGACACAAACTAGAGAAAGTCTTTGTGCAGTGCCGATGAGGAACACTGTGGCAGAATAAAGAAGGAAAAAGAAGCAGCAAGCTTCACTCTCATCCTGGTGCAGTGAGGGAGAAACGAAGAAAAGTACTGCAAGGAAAAGGGGAGCACTAATTATTCTGGGCTGTGAAGGCAAATCTTGGCCTTAAATGTGAAAGAGAAGAGAAAGGTTGGGGAAGAGGTTGGGTGAGAGCACTGTGATTCTTGTTGTGACCATGATTTGGATGACTACATTCTAGAAAAAGCAGGTCAAGGAAGAGGGAAAGGGTGGTGAGCGGGGATGCACCAGCTCTATAACAAGGTCCTGGAATGTTATCTGAGCTGCTCAGGTAAGGTGGGGCCTTTCCTGGACCTTTGCTGGGTAGCTCAGCCCTAGCCAGGGGCAATTGCAGGGGACAAGAACCTCTCCAGAGGCACACAGCTCAGTGGGATCCGAGGGGACAGTAGAGAGGAAAAGGTCTGAATCCACCCAGTTTCCAGAGTGAGAGGTGAAGGCAACCAAGAACACTGTGAATGCTTGAAGGCACAGACTCTGTCTTCTGCTGTGATAACAGTTAGTGCTCTGTTAACATTCCTCTTTTGAGGAGAAAAGATAGAAAATTTCTGTCAAGTTTTTTTTTTCTTTTGCAAACAACCTTGTGTGGAAATCCAACCATTTTCACCCTATGAATCTCAGGTTAGTGCTGCGCATGGACAAGTTCATGTCTCAAAGGCTGGTGAAGGATGGGCTGAGGCTACCACTAAAGGTCCTCCCAGTTTTCATGGTGGGCAAGTTCTAACTGCAGCCATGAAGTCTCTGTGCACTCTGTTGGGCTAGATCCTGAACAAAGAAGTTGGAAAGAAAGGTTGTCTATGGTTTTAGTCACAGTGTGTTTACATTTTCCAGGGAATGGAGAGCTGCAGGTGCTGCAGCACACTGGTGACACTTAGGAGCTCTGCCACCTTCTTCATGTGGCAGCTCTTCCAGCTGAATTTATGCAGCTCAAAATCTAACCAAAACAAATGTCCAAGTCCAAAACTTGAGTAGAAGTTTTCATACTTATTCCTGGACTATAGAACTCCATCTGCTTGGGGCTGGGCAGATCCTTCATGACACTCAGTGAGTACTCCATGAAGGCTGTTGGCAGCTGCCCAGCACAGCCCGAGGTAGTTTCAGGGTGGGAGGCTGTGGAATACTGGCATCACTTGTGTGTCACTGCTTGTCTCACTGCAGTGCGTGAGGACTTCCAGGTGACCTCTCATCATGAGGAGAGATATTCCTGTTTGTTAGCAGGTGCTGCAGGCACACCTAGATAATCACCTACCCTGCAGCCTGGAGGCTGGGTACTTGTTTGAGTCTGGGAGAGTGGAAAGGTCCCTGGGAGCACTGTGGTGTTATGGAGCCTGCCCCACACTGGAGGTACTCTTGCATGATGGTGTATGGCAGGCTACAGGGTACTGCCCCACTGCAGGAGAAGGGTGTGGATGGGGTAATCTGCACTCCTTCCACAGTGCAGGCATGGCAGGAGTCATCCACCAGCAGGGCTGCCCCAGATCAGGTGCTCC